CGCGGTCGCGTTACCTATTGTTATTCTCGGTCTTTCTTAACGCTATTCTTATTTTATTATAACATTTTAATTGGGGCCGCAACATCCCTCCCCCTTTGAGAGAAGGAAACTACGGTCTGTAGTTTTCGTTACAGTTTTTTCGCTGCTTATCCTATTTCTATTTCTATTAGGGTGATTTATTTTCTTTATTTGTTTCTGAGATTACATTCTTCTTATTTGTTAGTATAGTATCGCTGAGTCGCCCTGTCCGTGCGGTCGGGCGCTTGCTCGCTTCTTATGTCTTTTTATTACATAGATGATTATTCCTACTATGCTTAATATAATTATTAACGTAAGTGTCGATCCTACGGGATATGTGACGTAGGGATTTTTTATTAGGGTGTCTTGGGATTTTTCCAATTCTTTATTCATATCGCTTATTTCTAGACTTAACTCCATTAATTCGTTCGGATTCCTAATTACAGGTTCTAATCTAATTTCTTTCTTCGCTTGTTCGTTAATATTTTTATTTATGTTTGTTAGCGTTAGGTTAAAATCTGCTAGGTGCATTTCTATTTGTCTCATAGTCGTTTGTCTTTTTGTTTTTATAATAATGTCGGGTGTGGTTAGTTTACAATTTTCGTTTATACTTAGTTTTCCTGTTCGTTCGATTTCTACCTTTTGTTCCGCCTGATCGTTACATTGGATCGCTATCTTTTGTTTTCTCGGCGCTGAGAACAACCACGCCTGTGGTTCGCTCAACGCTACCCACAAAGTTACGTCTGACACCATTTGCCGCCTCTCGCAGGCGTTTACATATCCCGGCGTCCCCACATAAACTTGCACTTTGCAGGGTGCGTTGGCCCCCACAAAATATATCGGGCGGTTTCGGTCACATATGTACTCTGCTCCGTTTCGTTTACAGTCGTTTAAATCGCGTTCCTCTAGCGTTATGTAATTATGATTCTCTTTGTCTATTGCTAATATGTTGTGAGTAATTCTTAGGAATGTGAAAATATTCGCGTGGTTAGGGACAGGTAATGGTGTTGTTTTTATTATGTCATACACGGGGTATGCTACCACGGGAAATTTGATTATCGTATAAATGTTCGGTTTATCATAATATGCGTTAATTTTTACATAGTTTTGTATCTCGTTCCAATTTTCTACTCTAGTTTTAAACGGAAAGTGGGATCCCTGCGTCAATTGTGACGTTGCTTCTTGTAGTTCGATTATTATTTCTTCTATTGGCAATAGGCGGGTGAGTATTACTCCTTCCCGCGAATATGTGAGGTAGTCTATTGTGTCTTTTACGTCTTCCATTAGGTCCTCTGTAATTGTGGTTAGTATTAAAAGCTGTTCGTCTATTTCTTCTCTTTTGGCGTACAGTGCTGTTTCCAGCTGTATCCGTCTCGTGACGTTCGCCATCAGTTGTTCGTTGTGGTATAACGATTTTTCTAAGGCCTCCATGTGGCCTATCGTGGCATTCATCACCTTTAATTGACTTTTAGCGGTGTGCCGTAGAATCTGTTGCTGATTTTGTATCAGTTCAAGCTGCTCCTGTATGTGTTTTGCGTCGTCGGCATCCATAGTGCCGAACAGCGTTTTGCTGATCGTGCCGATCGCGTCTATTAACCCTCGCTTATTATTAGTTGTTTTATATATAGTCTGTAATCGCGTTAATAATTGCGTTAATTTTTTGTTATTTTTCTCTATTATATGGAGAATGTTTTTGCACGTCTGCTGCGTGTCCTTTGCGATTATCGTTTCGCATACTTCTTCGGCTTGCTGTAGAAATTCCTGAAGTTGGTGATATCGGTTTCCTAGGGCTGCTACGTCGATTTTAATCGCTAGTTTCCAAGTAGCTTCTACCTGTTGCAATTGTCCGGTCCTCTCAAAGTATATTCCCGGCTCGCTGCTGAATTGTCGTATCTCGTACGATGGTGCTGTCTCAGGTTTCGCTTTTTTCGCGAAGTGCTGGACGACGATCAGCGTCCTGTAAGATAAGGACTCATGTTACCTTTCTTCGAATTTTTACCTTGGCTTGATAATGCCTTCTCCTTGCGTTTTTTCTCTCCTCGCGCGTTTAGTTGCTCTTGCGACGTGGTTTAGAGAGTACTTTTATTAACTCTATTAAAAATGCGGTGCATTCAATGCAACCTATATTTCGCGCCGGCGTCTTGCGACGCCTGTATGCGTTCGTATTGGCTACGCGCTGCTCGTGCGGGTGCCGTGAGTGAGGGTGCCGCGCTTAGTGCGCGGATGGCGGCGAATTTGGGTCGACGTCGCCCCCTCCCACCTACGCAGAAGCGTTGCTAACGCCCCCGGATTCCTCCTGGATGCGTCTCCTCTACCCCCTGGAGGTCACATTGGATGTGGCCACCGGACGTCGTGTGGTGCGACGTGTTTGATGTTCGGTAAGTACTTATTGTCTAATTTTCGTTAGTTTTTACTATCGCCTATTTTCTATTGCCTACTTCCTATTGCTTGTTTTTGTTCTTCTACGCTGTTTTTACTGTTCTATAAAGGGCTTTTATCGGTTTACGTGTACTCGCGTGGTTTTCCGTCCCTTTTTGATCGTATAATTTACGTCTGAGTGTTTTTCAATTACTTCGTACGGTCCTATCCACGGGGATTCTAATTTTTTCGATCTCCCTCTACGCACCGTTTCGTCGTGCAAGAGAACTTATTTGTCTTCCACTCGGAAATTGATTTCTTTTGTCTTCTTATCATACGTCTCCTTGGCCTTAGATTTTTTGTTTCGCAAATGTTCTTTTGCAACTCGTTGTGTCGCTCTTAATTTTTCTTTTAGCTCTTGCGCGTAATTGTCATAAGTATACGTTGGTTTCGGTGGTTGCGACAGTGCCGTCGGTAGTGTCGCTCGGTGCCCGTATACTAATTCGAAGGGTGTAAACCCGGTCGCTGTGTGTGGCGTCGTGTTATACGCGAACATTGCGTATGGCGTCCATTCGTCCCAGTCTGTCTGGTCTGCGTTAATATAATAGGGGTATTCAAATAAGTTAGAGTTTAACGGTTTGACAGGTTATGTCGGGTTAAAGTCGAGTAAAAAGTTAATTTTTACACTTTTAACCCAAAGATTAATGTGATAGGTTAATGAGTCACTTATGTATTTTGCATAACCTTAAAGAGTAACGCGCCCAAAGTTAATTAATTAACTTTTTACTCAACTTTAACCCGACATAACCTGTCAAACCGTTAAACTTTAACTTATTTGAATACCCCTAATGTCGCAAATATTCGGCTAATGTTCTATGAGAGCGTTCCAATGCTCCATTACTCTCGGGATGGTAGGCCGTTGTTTGAATTTTTTCTATCTTCAGTAATTTACACGTGCTTTTAAATATTTCGCTAAGGAAATTCGTTCCTCTATCCGTCAGTATTTTGTCGGGAATACCGTATTCAAAGATAATCTTTGTGACAATTTCTTTCTTCTTGATTAGGTACGGGTATTGCCTTACTGAATTTTGATAAATTATCCTGAAACGTGAGGATATATTTATTTCCGTTTTCGGTCACCGTCAGTGGTCCTACTATATCTAGAGCACATTTTTCGAACGGTTTGTCCGCGGTGTCTGTTATTACTAAGGGTGCTTTATTTTTTCGCGATAACTTGTTCTTCTGACATAGTTCGCATTTATTAATGTAGTCTTCGACGTCTCGAGTTAATCCTCTCCAATTATGCGTCAACCTTATTCGGTTTATGGTGCGTTCCACACCCTGATGTCCTCCTACAGGTGCATCATGGTATTCGTATAATATACGTTGCTTCTCTTCTTCTGTGTATTTTTTTTTCGCTCTCCTCTTCGTTATTCTCTTCTTTCTCTATCTTGTTGATATTTGTCGGCACATGTCGACTCAGCGCATCCGCGTTTCTATTCTCTTGACCGGCCTTGTGTACGATAGTGTAATCGTATTCTTCTAATTTCAATCTCCATCGGATTAATCGTGATCCGGGGTCCTTTACGTTAAATAGCCAAACCAATGATTTATGGTCTGTCACGATGGTAAATTTTGTTCCATAAACGTATGGTCGGAAGTGTTTCACCGCCCATACTATCGCTAGTAATTCTTTCTCGGTAGTATTGTAATTTTGCTCGGCTTTAGATAGTACTCTGCTCGCATACGCCACGGGTTGATCTTGACCTATCTTTCCCTGTGACAGTATGGCTCCTATTGCGTAATCTGACGCGTCGGTCGTTACTACAAATTCTTGGGAGAAGTCCTGGTATTTTAATACCGGTGCTGTGGTTAGTTTTTCTTTAAGTATTTTAAATGCGTTTTGTTGTTCTGCGTTCCACTCGAATTTGATATCTTTTCTGGTCATTTTTGTGAGTGGCTTGGCGATTGCTGAGAAATCTTTAATAAATCTTCGATAATATCCGGCTAATCCTACGAAAGCCTGGATGTCCTTTACCTTTGTTGGTCTCGGGAAGCTTTTTACTGCTTCTAATTTTGTAGGGTCTGGCGAGATTCCGTTTTCTGTTATTACATGTCCGAGATACGTCACTTCTTTCCGAAGGAATTCGCATTTATCGGGCTGTAATTTTAAATTATATTTTCTCAGTCTTTTTAGCACTTCAATTAATCTCTTATTGTGCTCTTGTAAACTTGCTCCGTATACTATTATATCGTCTAGATAGACTAAGCATTGTAATCCTACTAGTCCTGCTAAAACGGCTATTATTGCTCGTTGAAATGTCGCTGGGGCATTTTTCAATCCAAAAGGCATTCGATTATACTCGTAATGTCCGTATTGTGTCGAGAACGCTGTTTTTTCTTTATCTTCTTCTTCCATCGGGATTTGATGATATCCCGAGGCGAGGTCTAGCGTGGTAAAATATTTTGCTTTTCCCAGTTGGTCTAGGATATCGGTTACGTTTGGCAATGGGAAGGAATCTTCCTCCGTTAGGTCGTTCACAAACCGAAAATCTATTACCACTCTCAGTTTTAATTTTCCTGATGCGTCTCTTTTCTTCGGTACTACTAGCAACGGCGCATTCCACGGGCTCGTGCTAGGTCTAATAATTCCGTTTTTCAACATCTCTTTCACTTGTCTATTCACTTCTTCCTTGTGCTTTTCTGGCAAACGGTACGGTCGGACGTTGACCGGTACGCTGCCCGCCTTCGTGGTAATCTTATGCGCGACGATATCAGTGCACGTCAGTGGTTCTCTTTCCACATGCAATACATCGCTGTAATCTCTGCAAATTTCCATAATGGTTTTCTTTTCTTCTTCGTTTAAGTGTTGTGTGCGTATCAATTTTTCGACTTTTTCGCTACGCGGCATTGTTTCTTCTGCTTTGTCTACTTGGTTTACTTCTATTTCTTTTGCTTCTTCTTGCTCTAACTCTTCTAATGTTACTTGCGGCATTAGCATTTCGACTGTCTTCTCCGTCGTATTTAGTATGCTTGCCGGACATAGAAAGTTTTCTGGCATCACTAGGCAATTTCCTATGAACACTCCTGGCATTGTCTCTTCTGCCTGTATTATTCCTAGTGAATTTTTATCGGTCGCGACTTGCACTATTGTCTCGCTTCGCGGTTTCAAAACCATTTTCTTATACGGATATAATTTTAATGTGCTATTCCCTATGCGTATTGCGCTCGACTCGTAACTATATGACGCTCGATGTTTCTTTATAAAATCTACGCCTAATATTCCGTCGTATTCTATCGGAAAATCATCTTTGACGACATATATCGTGTGCTTGATCTTTCTATCTTTCAAGTCAATAGTTGCTGCAAATTTTCCAATTGTATGGGCTTTGTGACCTGTTACTCCTGTAAGGGCCATTTTATCCTCTTCTATCATTGTTTCGCCTTTCAAATGTTTTACTTTTATTATTGATACGGCCGCTCCGGTATCGAACAGTAAATTTATTTTTTCGCGCTTCGCTTCTCGCATGGGCAGAGTGATTAAATCCAGCTCTGCATGCTTTCGCGGCTTGTTCGTCAGGTGTGACACCTGATGCTCTAACGCCGGTCGGCGCTGCTTTGTGTCCTCTTTATCTTCCTCATCGCTATTCGCGGCTGAATTACTGTCCTTTTTTCTCGGGCCATTCGTTTTCGGGTGAAAATTTTTATTTTGTCCTCGCGGATTATTAGGTTTGTTGTGGTTCGTCCTTTCTTTATTTGGTCGACCATTTAACAACCAACATTCTTCGCGCATGTGTCCTGCCTTCTTGCAGTAATTGCAGACTTTATCTATCGCGTTTACGCGGGGTGTCCTATCGGGTTTCGGTAAGGAGAAACGGTTCGCATATCTATTGGTACGACATTCCCTTCCGAGGTGCCCGTATTTTCCGCATTTTTGGCATTGTAACGTCGATCGGTTATCGCGCGGTTGCGGCGAGTACGCATAATTATTTTTGGGACGCGGCGGAATTCCACTCGGCCCGTTTACTTTTTCTTCGGCGCTCGCTCCGGCAATCGCTTCTTGCAATGTTGCGAAATGCTGAGCTCGGACAAGTAACTTGATCTCGTCTCTCAATCCTAATTGAAAATTCTGTAATGCCTGTTGTTGAATCGTTTCTAATATAGTTCGCTTGCTTTCTATGGTGTGATTTCTTCCCTCTATCATGGAGTCGTATAGCTCCATCGCTAGCTTATCGGCTCTTAATCCGAATGCTCTTGCATTTTCTCCGGGTTTTTGCTTGAGTGTATTAAACTCTAGTTGTAAGTGTGTTGTGCTTTTGCGGCTCAAATAGCAAACTTCTAATTCTTTCTTTAGTTGTGCGAAATCTCTTATTTCTCGCGTTTGAAAATCTATCATCGCTCTTCCTTTTAGCTTTGTGCATAGCACTGCTTCTAATAGCATTCCTTCTTCCATAGGATTTATGTTTTTCATTGCATATGACGCGGCGCTTAAGAATTCTTGTAATTTACTCGAGGTTCCGTCGAACTCAGGTATCATGTCTCGTGCCTCTTTTAAACGTAGATATCCGATTGCGCGCTCCGCTTGGTTCCGAATATCATATGACGTTCTTCCGTACGTTACTTCGAACGGGAGGTTACTTGGCTCGCGTCTCGCGTGAAATTCGCGGCGTTCAGGATTCGCCGTTTCTAGTTGATTTACGCGATCTTGTAAGTTGCGGATTCCGTTTAATATCTCGTCGAGAATGGAATCTCTATCGTCTCGCGGCGGTTCGGCCCGTGCGGGTATCCGGTTACGGTGATTCGCCGGGGTGCCTCTTTGTGATAGCACTTGATTAAGACGGTTTATTTCTTCGTTTATTTCCTCTGGGGTTATCGGCGCGTTGTCATTTACGTTATTCGCGTCGTGGTTGCTATTTGTTGCTTCCGCCATCTCGATTACATTCACGTGTCTCGGGGCAGAATAATATTCTTGCGGGTCAAATACGCTGCTATCATACGAGGTCAATGAGAACTCTCGTCTGTGTGTTCGCCTACTGGTCGTACTGTTCGCGTCTTCGGATTGTACGTGCGCGTGTGAGGGGTGGAGTTTATTTTCGTCGGGGCAGTTATTTTGTCTTATTACTCTCGCGTCTAAAATTATAACGGAATCGTCGATTGGTTCGCGTTCGATTACGCTGTTTGGGTGTAATTCCGATTCTGATTCGCTTTCGCTTGAGTAGTACGCGTCTAAATTTCTACGCACGGTTTCGCGATTATCGCTTACGCCTTCTTCGGTCGTTTGCACGGGGCTTAGCGGTCTATTTCTACGCGCTCGTCGTGACGTCTCGCTATGGAGCCACGATTGGTTTTGTTCCGCAGGTGGATTTTCGTTTTCCGACATTTACGGTGATTGCGCTTTACATACTTTGCTTAATCGACTTACATTACGGTTGCTAGTCGCATATTGCTAGTGGATGCTCGTGCCGCCTTATCTGTCGGTGAGCCTCCGTTGAGGTAGGTCGGCGCCTTCTCGGGTTACGCTGCTCGCTTGTCCCTCGTCGGCCGCTACCGTGTTGTCCGCCGTTTTTGAATCTGGCTGCCTGTGTCTCCGTTGAGGATGTTGCACTGCCTCACTGATTCACTTATTTTTCTGTTTCAGCTGCCGTTCCCGTCTTCCTGCCACTGGATCCCTCACGCTGCCACCATTTTGTTGTGCCCTCTTTTTACGGCGGGACACCAGGGATCGTTTATC